TTCTCTTTAAGTAAAATTTCAAGTTTATTTTCACTTTGGATATTTTAATTTTTTTGTACTGAACATGTATCGTTTTTCTTAAAAGCATAAAAATAACTACTCAAAATTCATAATAGGACATAAATGTTACCATTTACAAAGTTTGTCACGTGATTTGTTAGGAAAATATGTTTCAGGAGAGTGTCAACTGAATTTTCATTTATATATCTGTGGAAGGGACTACATGTAATTTAGCTTTCCCTTTAGCTTTACTTTCAAAGAGATATTATGGTAACAAAGTAGAATACTTTATGAATATCATCTTTAAAGCATTATAGAATTTGAGTTAAAGACAACAAATGTAAATATTATTAAATACACGATCCAGTACCAGTAATAATAAACGTGTAAATGTATGCATAGGTAGATACGGGAGCTGAATAGATATTGGAAGACATAAAGGAGTATACTTGTGGATGTGTAAGCATGTGTATTTATTTTTGCCAGAGGATACTTCTTCATATGTATTTGTACTACATATATATTCAAGGGTATCGTAGAGCATACATAGAGAGGCAAAGAAGACTTGTTAGCCATACGAAATACCTTGAGAAATCAATCATTGATCTTTGGGACTTAATACCATAGTCTCAGGAGGCATCCACATCATTTGACATAACATAGTCTACAAAGCAGTGTGTTTTACATCTTACTTGGGCATGTAATAATTGGGATTTTTTGAAGCTTGTGATCAGCCATCTAAAATGCAGCAATTGATCTCACCTCAACTGGAACAAAGAATAATGGAGAAAATCAAAGACTTAGGAAGATAGTCCAGAGGACTGATGGACCACAAGAACCGTGGCCTTTTTTACCCTGAAAACAGAAGAACCAGATATTGTCTACCCACTGCTACTAATTGCACTGATCAGGTTGAAAGAAGGTACTAGAAAGATTAAAACTGACAGAAAATTCAAAATTCTGAAAAATAAACCACTTCACTGATCTGATGGAGACTGGCATAACCTTGAAGACTTTCTCTTTAGTCCTGGAGCTGAACCCAACCAACCAATTAGGCCTTAAAATGAGTAATAAAACCAGGGAAGAATGTGTTCCTCAGTACAGCCAATCAGCCATGTGAGACTGAAAGGTTACCATTTGCCTAAAAAGCTCTGAAGGTAAGTAAGAATGACAGATGGAAACAGAGGACCCAGAGAAAGAAGTACAAAGAGTGATGTCTGTTGAGGGGATTGTAAAATGTGTTACTGTTTAACAGTAATTTGATCTTTAAGTTGGTTTTGTTGTTGGTTGTTTGTGTTTTGTTTTGTTTTGTTTTGTTTTTGGGGGGTCTTTAAGTTTTAACTAAAGAGGTTTTTGTGGGTTTTTTTTAAATTGTAGAAATTTAATAATTACTGCTGATTAACTCTGAAATATAGAAATTGAAAAAAAACCCATCTGTCTAAATCTGATCACAGTTACTCTTTTTGGATTTCAGGAACCAATAAAATCACGTGCACCACAGCTTCATTTAGAATACAGGTTTTATAAACAGCTCGGCAATGCAGGTAAGTCGTATTGTTTTCTCTCTAGTTTATTTAGCATATATTTTAGTTGTCATCAGATGTGATTGTTACTGTTTATGCAAGGAAATTAAACTGGTGGCCAGTCCTTTTCCACCCTCACAATCATTACTATATATTGTTGAAGCCGTCTAATTGAGAGTCTTTTCCACTGTCCCTCTGCTTCACTAAGGATGGTCTCCTTCTCTAGACATTGTCCCTTCTTGATGTTGTTGTTGTTGTTATGTGCCGTCGAGTCGCCTGCGACTCATAACGACCCTATGTACAATAGCCCTAAACTCCGCTCTGTCCTGTGCCAATCACACTGTCTCCGACACTCCCATCCCAATTATCCCAGTCACTGAATCAATCCACCTCATAGAGGGCCTTCCTCTCCTGCGCCGTCCCTTCACCCTCCCAAGCATG